AACGGACGGACAGACAGACAGACAGTTAACCACTTACACGCTTTTTTGGGCTGGTGTGATCCGCCGGGCGCTCCCCAGCGCCGGTAATGTCTTTAAGATACACACACACACAAACACACCTCCTCGCCCCAAAATAGTATAACTTGCAGGCAAATAATGGAAAACTACATTCGGCCCGGGGAAGGATGGGTACCTACCCAGCAGGTGACACAGGAAAAAAAGCCGTCAGAGCTCCTTCGGTCCCAGGGCTCCGTCAGGAGACCCAAATCCACAGAAAAACGGACGCCGTGCGTTCCCGTCCGGTACTGCTTGAGAAAGGAAGGACATCATTACTTTTCCACTCCCATATTTAGGTGGAGGTACGTGCTATTCCCCAAGTATTTATTTCAGGTAAATCAGACCTGCGAGCCGGCTTCGTGACCAAAGTGGCAGCACGGAGCAGGGGAAGGAAAATGTTTCGTGAAACTAAGCAACGACTACTTGTGTCTTTATGCAAAAGGGAGCCCAAAAGAGACTGACTGATGTCGCCCCGCCTCCCCCTCCCCACCCCCTGCCCTCCCCGCTTTTAACACATCCTCTGCACCATAAACAAATGTTAGTAGGTTTTAACGATGAAAAGCGATCATAAAAGAGGAGGACAGTAGCTAATCTACCAAGTTAGCTTTTGCAAGAGGGGATCAGCCCTTGCACAGCCGGGCAGTGTTATTTTGCCAACAGACGGGATTTGGTTGTTCGCTCTTCAGACGGCAGGCAGCCGTGCCCCGGGAGCACCGTCTCCTGCACAGAAGCGGTGGGTTTTCCCGCTGCCGGTACCTCGGGCCGGGGCCGGGGCGGGAGGGGGAGGCGGCAGGGACCGGGGGGTGCTGGGATGTGCGGCGGGATGTGCTGGGATGCAGAGACACCTGCTGACGCTGCTCTCAGGACCTCCTTCCAGCCCAGCAACGGCAGCTACGCAGCCGTCATAGCTCTGATACCACCGGAGAGAGTATCTTCCATCTGCCAAAGCCAACAAACAAACAAGAAAAGCAATAACCCATGTGGGAAATGAGCTAAGTTTTGCTTCAGCTAATTGATGTATCATTGTTAGTGTGATAGTACTAACAAAGCCTTAGTAATAGTAGAGCCTAATAAATTGTATCCAATTAATCCCCAGAAATGCCCTTGGTCTGTCAAGGGCCCCTAGGTGAAGAGAAACAAAGTGGAACATGGCCTTCAACACAAAAACCCAAAGGGTAGGGGTGTATCAATAAGGCCAAAGAAACCAGTCTGGTAAATCTGACAAGTAGATGGTAGCAAAGACTGTGAAATAACGTGTACCTTAATCAACTAATCAAAGGCGTGTTTAGGATAATAATTTCGTAGAATAGGTGTATGTGTGCCTTATATGGGAAAAAGTGCAAGATAAACCTGTAGTGGGTCAAGCGGTTGGAAGAATGTGAGCTCCAACTTCTCAGCCAATGAGAAGAGAGACACAAACTCAAGCGGCCGGGATAAAGGTATAAAATACCTGAAAGCTAAAAGATCATCGTGCATCTATTTTTGGTGCACCCAATTCAGTGCTGTTTTGTATTAATAAATTATTATTTTTTTAACCTTTGCTTTGGTGACTTTGTCCTCTTTAAATTCTAAGATGTGAGTCGATGTTTCTCACACCCAGATTTTCTTGTCACCTATATTCCTAATCCTTGTGTCTAACCCTGTGAGAACTAACAGCAGTTTTGCTCTGACCTCAAGCCTAAATGATTAAAGAGCACTAGGAAATAGCACTATAAGATGGCAAATACAAGAAAATAAATTACATTTTTCAATCTGATTCAAATTAAGTATTCTGATTAACAGTCAGATTTTTTAAAGCAATCCAGAATGAAACGGTAATTGTCTGCACGAGCAGTTGGTCTAGTCAGCTGAAGATCACCAGTGTCAGTTGTGTGCTTGTTGCTTAAGTTTAGTTAACTTCATTATCCTTCATGGGAGCATGTTTGCTCCTTCTCAATGGTGATTTATAAGACTTAGAAGTGTTTTAAAACACTATAGTTTCTCTGAAGTGATAAGCTTAGTTGCACACCACTGTTCTTCCAGTTTTGGTGTCAGAAAGATATTCTCAATTTCAGATCCCCAATTAACATATCAAATGAATTTATGCCAGTTCTGTGTTACTCCTTTTTGACATCTCTTACAACTTGAAGAGCTCCCTCCCTGCTTCTTTTAACCATTTGTTCCTCTGTAATGTATGCATATAAATGTGAAATAGTGCTAAAGAGGATGAAAAATATGCATGTATTTTCTTATGAAAATGACATTTTCCCATGAATTGTCTCATTTTCTTTAAGGGAAGTTGTGGAAGAATAAGGAACTGTGTTACAAGAACATGATCCTAAGTGCTTATTTGAAGGTTACTTCCTATACAGTACACTTGTCATACCAGATAGAAATTTAGCAACCTTAGCAACAAATGATGCAAAGAGATGTTCTACCATGGGGTTTGGGTGGGTTTTTTTGGGGAGGAGGGTGGGTAGGGGATACCTCTTCAAACTGAACTCTTTAAAATAGTCCTGTATTACTATCAGGATAAGAATTAGTTTAGAGATGCACAAGACAAAAAAGTCAGGCCAAGAACCAAAATTATTTACTTTAGAAGCCAGTTTCCACATCTCTCCTCACTCTAAAAGTCCACACTGTTTCCTGGTTATTTGGAACATTATTTTCACTGAAAACAAATGAAGAGCAAATGGCTATTTTTATTTCCACCATCCTAAACATCCTTAATCAGACAAAGTTTAAAACACTGCTCAGTGAATGTGCTCAAAACCAATCTGAAATACAACTTGTGTCTCTATAAAAAATTATGAACCTGTAGAGGACCAAACATTATACTAAAACGTGATCTTCCCTAAAAGTCAAGCATCAAGTTAAGCTAGTCATCATTGCAAAGGGCAGTTCAGCTTCCCTGTGGTAAGGCATCTGTCTTGGGATGGGGTGAACTGGCCTCTGAAAATGTTTGTCCATCACTGCTGAGTAGCCACAATTTAGATTAGGTGTCTTAGCCTTCAGATTGTGATAAATTGCATAAGATGAAAACCACCCTGTGTTGCACACTCAGGGATGTGCTAGGCAGTGTATCCAGGTTGCTGGCCAGAAGAACACACTGAGCTGCAAAGCCTTTCTATGAAGAAGCTGCTATCAAGAAGTCATGATTCTCAACAATTAATTGCAGCAATCAAGAAGTAATTCCTGTTCTGAGCCCGGAAGAGAGCTGCATATCCTGAGTACTGCAAGATGATAAAAATGTCTGACTTGTTAATGAAGGCTGAACACTATTAAAGATTCTGAGGACTGCAGGACAAAGAATGAGACTTTTATATCTGCACTCTTCAATTCAGCCAATAACAGTTAACTTCAAAACACTCTAAATGTTTTAAAATGTTATGATACTCCTATATAGTTCACATAATTTCTGTATAAGCACGACCATTTCTCCACACAAGTAACACTTTTAAATAAGTAATAGCTAGTCTCACACTCTGACTCCTGAGGAGAAATTGTGTGATAATGTCTTTGATCTGGTTTCTTTTTGAGTATGGAAAACTTTTAAATTTTTGTGTGGAACGTCTGGATTCTAGACACTGAGCAGAAATCCCAGAGCAAGTTGTCTTTGACCATTTCGTCATCTCAAGACCTTAGAGTAGACTTACAGGAGGTTATGAACACACATAAGTGACACTGGGTAGTAGTACAGCTTCAAAAGGAAGAGCATAGGTCCAGAAGAGGAAAGGCATTGAACACTCTCTACTGAGAAAAAAAGCATAAAATATGCATGTATATAAACAGCACAGAAAGTGCTATCTGCAGATATACCTAAGCAATATTTTCCACTTCTATTTACCACCATCCCATCCAAATTATTTGATCGGAAGATAACTAGATTTGAAAACATGTAACATGACTGATCCAGCTGATACACAGAAACACAATTGCATTAGAACACTACATTCGCACTCACAGTCCAGATCGTGCCTATAATTTCGCACTGTCAGGATTCCAGGATGAGACATTCCTTCTCAGAAAATGAGGTATGAGGGAGAGAAGTGGTGTGACTATGAGTTACAGGTGGTTCCATCGTTCTTTAACTTTGAAGGGATAGAAACACAGAATAATGCTACTGCATCCCCTGAGTGCCTCAGTCATATGCTGGTTTTCAGAGATGAGGGGAGGGTTGTTTGTTTTCAAACTGTAAATGCAGAGAAGAGGAATAGTGAAAAAAGGAGATCACTGAAATCAGGATAACTCTTATTTGTGCCTTGGCCTTCAGAAGGCAAAGATGAAATGAAGGGGTGGCCCTAGACTTGAAAGTAAAATGTTTTGGGGACTGTAGAATAAAAGAACAGGATTGGCGAACAGATGTAAAAGAAAGAAAGGAAGCAAGTGGGGAAAAAATAAGTTAGTAAGGAGAAAAAGCCAAAATAATAAACAGAATGAGGAAGGAGAAAGGAATAAGCCAAATAATATGAAAGAGATCTTCCAAGAATGGTTTCTGAATTGTCAAATTTTTCAAAGACAACCATCCTACATTTCAACACAGGCAATATTTTTTAACCATTCTTCATTGTTTCATAACAAAATTATTTTGGGCCTAGTTCTAGGTGTGAGAACTGTTAGTAATCCTGCTATGATATGTGATAATGACGTGATATCAGAGAGAAACAGGGCAATTTAAAATTGCTGACTCTCCATTTCTTTTTGGGGTGGATTTGGGGACATATTGTGAGAGGTTTTCCAATAAATCCATAAGTGATAAAATTATGAAAACTTAAGTATAAAATGGAACAATATGATTTGAATACACAGATAAAATAGAAAGACATTCAGTACTGGAATTTGTATGTTTTATGCTGTGTAAGGGTTAAAATACTTTTAACGTTTACCTGTGAAAACAATCTTTAT